GGCCTCCTGTTGCGATACTCACACTAATACACACCACTCACACTCAAAGTGTCACTTAATTGTTTATGAATTGCTCTCCCTGTTTGTCGGCGTGTGCGTGCGAGTGCGAATGTGTGGGTGTGCGATTGTGTGAGTTAAATATAAATCAGCCTGCGTGTTAGGCTATGAATTTTTTTGTTGTCAACATCGTGCGGTTGACAGACCGGAAACGGATGTTGGCGTGTTGGTCGCCTGCGATTGTTGACGTTTTGCTCAGATTGACTTTTTCAGCGGTTATTGCTTGTTTGTTTTGCAGTCAGGGCTTATTGAGATGTTTGATTTTGACCGCGTACATGTTTTGGTTTTCTTGCTTAAGTAAAAAAATTGTAAAATCTGCACAAATCCGAAAAGGAGTATGTTGCTCATAGCTTTAATTGCAAAGTTATCATTAAACTTAATATGAGGTCTCACACTCAAAAACGGTGCGCTATAAGGCATGTCAAATCATTGCTTTTTGAAAAAAATGCTTTTTAGGATCTATGCACTGGTTTACAACAAATTATCACTCATACGTACTGTTGCCCTTGATCAAAAGTTTATTTTGAACTAGAAGACGCAGATTTTAACCAATCATTTGGTTTTTTTTATCTCCTTTTTTATAAGCATGAACTTAAACTTAATTAATAGGTTGAAACATTTTAATTGGCATACGCGTCGTATGAGTAATTTTTAACAAAGTATTTTGTAATCACACGAAAATCTAGGGACGAGAACAATATATTTTTTTTTATGCTTAAGAAGATAAAAAGGCAACATCAATTTATATGTATGTGCCTAATGATATTGACACTCACACATTTAGATATAGTTGTAAAAAAATAAAAATGTAGAAAAGCACAAGTAAAGCATTTTTGTAAAATCATACCAAACCCAAAAGTTTTTGGTGATTGTATATTAATATTATTAGAACTTTATGTCGATTAACAACATTTAAATAAAGTTTGGTTTTTAGCAAGGCAAAACTTATTTTTAAGTTAATAATAATTTTTTGAAAGAATTTCACTAATTTGATTTTAAAAAGTTCCACATTTGAAAGTAAAAACTCGCCGGGGAAAAACATTTATTTTGAGAAAGGACGAAATCGAGTTATAGCACTTGACATTAGATGGGTTTTATAAATGAATGATGAAAGCCTCGACCAGAAATGAACGATATCCATTTATGTTTCAGCAAGGCATTTATAGCTTGGTAAAGTTAAAAAAAGTTTCTAATGTTGGGATATAACGGGTTAATCCTCTGAAAAAAGCAACAAATCCTTTCATGAAATTCTTCTAAATTTTGTAAAGCTTTAGTAAAGCAATAAAAAATGAAATGAAATAAAATTATTTTCATGGTTTCCTTTTTTTCTAAAACATGTGTCCTAAGAATACCCAAATAATATTAGTTTTTTACGTTTCTTTGCATTTATTGGATTCTTCAGCGGATCGAGCATTTACCGTTAGGACAACAACAGCACAATACACAACACTACACAACACAATACTGGGCAGTTCGTTTTGGGGGAAGTGCCGTTAGTGGCTTCGGTTACTATTTCGTTGTTTTCCTTTTTCAATTGGGGGCGGGTGCAGCTTAGAGAGCACAACACACAGCAATGGCAATGTAGCTGCAGCGGCAACAACAACAACAGCAGAAGTATATAGCCAACTATACAACAGGACAACAGCACTCACATACACACACACAGACACACTTACAGCAGCATCGGATGCAGCAAACGAGCGACGAGCCGACGATCATAACGGTACATAACACGAAGTCACGGCCCGAGAGCTGCAGCAAAACAAAACACAGCACAAAACAATGCAAAATACAGCAACAACAACAAAATGTAACTAAATAGGATGCAGCAGTGGTAGAGTGGGGGAAGGGGTTTCAGTCCTCCCCCACCCATTCACTCCCACTTTCTGCCTCCCCCTCCCCGACCATTCGCTTGCAACGCCGGCAGAGCGAAGGACGAACGAGCGAGCTGGAAAGACCGAGTGCGACTAACGGTAAACAGGCCAAGAAGGAGCAGAGAATTCCTCGTCACAAGAGCTTCGCCACATCGCCTCTCCCGAAGGACCAGCCGAGAGAGCGAGAAATAAAATAAAATACAAGCAAAACAACATAAAACCCAACAACAACAGCAATAATAACAACAACTGCAGCACGTGCAATTAATAGATGCTCTCCCTCTCTCTCTCGCTCTCTTGCTTTCTCTCTTCCTCGCCTGTGCCGTTGCAATTCGAGATGCCTCTCTGGTTGGCTGTTGCATACTTCCCGGCGCCATGCCGGAGTGAGAGTGTGTGTGTTGGCATTTTTGTTTGGTAAACTGCATATACAACAATACAATAAGCAAGACATCGACTGAGGTATGGGGATAGGATATCTGGGGTCCTTTACATACCGCTCTATGTGTAGCATGAATGAAAATTCGGCGCATGCCATTTGACGGCCTCGCTATAAAAGTCAGTTAGGCCATGTGCACGGGCTCAGTTGAGTCTCAACTACCAGAGTCCTGACTTCGAGTTTAACTCCATCTCCCAAGAAGCCAGCCGCCAAAAAAAAGGAACCCAAAATACGGAAAAGTCCAGCTGAAGAGTATTACCATCGCAGCAAGTCGAAATTCCTTGAGTTCCGCAGTTGCACCAGAGCGACGGCAATTGGGTGCGCCCAATATTTCGGACGCGAGTGTGAGCCCCGCGCTTACAAAGGTGAGTTGTGAAGATGGGGTGGTGAGTGTGGTGAATAGAGTGGAAGGTGGTGGAATTCGACAGGGGATCGTTTATAGGATCCGCATTAAAAAAAGTGATTGTATCAAAAAAATACTTGCTGTAAAATGGATCGCGCTAAAGTGAAGGACAATTCTAAGTTTACTTCCTTGAATGGTATAATAGGTTGAATAAATCTAAAGTTAATAGTTCAGTTAGGGTGGATAAGATAAGATAATAAAAACAATTGCAATGTACAAAAAACTATTCCAGTCGCATTCTATTTAGGAATAAATGAGTTATTAATATATGGTTACAACTTGTTTGTAAATTCTATAAAAGAACATAATTTTAACATGACCAACAAAGCAAATCAATCACCTTAATCAATACTATTATGTTTTAATCACCCATTTTTTTTACATTTTTCAGAAATCTTATCCTACTAGAATACTGAATACTGAGCCCCCCAACGGCTACCAAGGCCACTACAACCATTTCATCGCACCATCAGTCAGTTCGCTTGGGCGGAACCTACTGTAAGTAAGACACCATGAGTTCGCAGATGAAAATGCAGGTCGCACGACCTCAGGCGCAAGGATACAAAAATGATCTCTTAAAGCGGTACAAATCAACGAAATCAAACCCTAACAGGGCTAAAAATCAAACCATAGAAAAATAATGTCATAACCACCTAAATATAACAATCAAAGCGATATGTAACCAAATGTAGGGCCACTATGTATGCCGATAGTCAATGTATTAGCCATATCTGTCAGAATCTAGAAATCCTTACTTAAACCATCACAAACTAGGGACAATGCATCTAAATAGGTAATTTAGTTCTTAAGATCAACTATAATTAAATAACATTCACTGTAAGACTCCGAATCCGAACAGGTAGGGCTCAACGAAAGACAACCAATTGATATCGTTCGCATTTAACTTTTAACAAATCCCGCTTCAAGAGCTAAACATTGGCATGATCCGCTTAATCCGGGGCTTGTGATCCGCTACCAAACGCTTCGATTCCAACAAAATTATCTGGGAAATCCTTGAGATGGGGTGTCCGAACTTGCTGATCGCGTACGCGGATAAATTCCATATAATGGAGGCCAGGGTCCGGACCTTTGCCGTAATCGGGTTCTACGAGCCGTGCGTCAAGCGGCTGTCGCCCCTCGCGTCGGTTGGGCGGGTGGTGGGTAACGATTTAGCGTTACACGTTGGGAATGCGTTCGAAAAAAAAGTCGCGTATTTACTGAGACTTACAAAGTGTTTAAGTACTAATATACTATACCTATCTTTTTAAAGCATGCTGCATGTTTTCGTTTCATTGAATTTATCCCTAAGATACAAATCTGCTGTTATGTTAATCTTATAAAATTCAAAATTATAATTTTGTTGTATTTTGACCCCTAAACGATTTTTTGAAATATTTTTTGGAGCGCATTTGTAAAATACTTCATCTTACTAAAATGTTTTTTATGCCTTGATTATTATCATTTTAAACATAACTTACGTTTTATTTTTAAATTAATAAACATCATAAAGACGTTTTTTAGTTCTGTTGAACTATTATTATTTAATTCTTCATTAAAATATATATATATATCCATGTAGAATAACTACACAGTGCATTCGTCTAAATATATAGAAAAGTGAACATGATTTTAAAATATTTTTTTAAAGTAAAAAAAAATTTATTTCAAATCCACTTTTTCTAAGTTTTTTTAAAGTGCTGGTAAAAGGAGTTCCTTTCAAAATAAATTATACTATCTTTTATGCACTGATTTAAACTTTCATACTATAGGAAAATTTGTAGTTTGAAAAGTGGGTATAAACGCAAATCACTGAAAACGTGATTCGTTAGAGCAGGCAGACCATTTCTTTCTCGAAAAATTGATATCAAAATATACAAAATATTCAAGGTCTCCTGGGATGACTTTTGGCGTCGCCAATCCCTCTCTTTCCCGCCTGCGGACAGACCTTGTTAACGCTTCTGGCGCTGTCAACGGCGTCCACCCAAGAAATGCATATTTAGTCAAGTGTTAATAATGTGGCTGCCACCGGGGGATCGTCCCTTCGACAGGATGAGTCCTTACAGCCCGACTTTTGGGTTTGGCTAGGCGGGAAAGGTGCAAGCGTGCGTTAAGCCAAGGAGCTCACGCAAGGCAAACAAATACGGGGAGACACAAACAAATGGCACAAAGGGATAAAAAATACAAAACAAAGGGAAAGTGAAAGTGAAGGAAAATATAAGGAAAAACTTGCCTGTCCGGACGGTCTCGATGCCAGGGTCGCGAATTAAATTTCATTGAGTTGTTCTGTCGCCTGTGGATGTTGGAGAAAACATAAATAAAAAATTAAAAACAGAAAAGAATGCAAAAAAAAGTAAGCAAAAGAAATGCATAACTAAACAAGGAATAGAGGCTGCAAGTTGGGGCTGGCTGTTAATTTTGTTATTCAAAATGTGCCTTTCCCGGGATTTCAAGAAAGTTGCGACGTTTATTTGCTTCCGCATTGCTAAGGTCCCTTTCTTACTTTTTCCCTTGACTGTCTTGGGATTTCTTTTGTTATCAGTTTTTCGAGGAGTGGTAAAGTTGATTTTTATGCTAAAGGCCTGCATTTGAGTTGATAATGAAGGCAGACATTATAAATACACCCCCTGCCTATTTTCCGCATAGATTTTAATTTAGTGGTCTATAATTAAAAGCGATGCGTGGGGGGGAAGTCAGGTGGCCAATTTGCACACAATAAAAAAAAAGAAAAGGAAAGTCACTGTCATTGGAAGTCCCGTAGATACGATTTACTTTTGTACGTCACGTAGTTTCAACGTCAATTGCCCAGTTCAGAGGGTTTTATTTTGGAGGACTGGAAAATGGGGTCCTGAACATTGAACGCACTCACACGGAAATTTCAATGACAGGCAAGCCACAACCAGAGGCGTAGGCAAAAGGGATACCCTGATTTTTTAATACGATTTGATAATAGTATTTCAAATGTAAATATATTTTTGTATATCTTCAATAATATTTTTTTGGCTGAATTTTTTATTTATTTATTATTCTTGATAAATATTCTTGAAACTCAAAATTATTGAATATTTCTGGACAATACAGAATAAGACTTAAAAAAGTATTATTTTAAAATTGTTGTACATAACTTATAATGATTACGGTTCGTGATTATCATCGTAACATCATTTATTTTTCTATAAAATGATTTATTTTTCATCCCTCTTACACTACGTTTCTGCAATGTAAGAAAAAACCCAGCAGGACTAAAAGTATCTCGTGGATAGCCAGCCGCAGGCCGTTGGCCACCCACTTGAAAATTTATGTGTTAATTTTAAGGTGCCCAACGAGTGCAGCAGATGGGGAACTTCAGGAGGGATTTTTTTTTTTACATATTTTCCTTTTTTTTGCCTTTTTGTATTGGCCAGCATTTTTCACAAAGTTTTTCCAGGTGCTGCCAGGGTCAGGCGCCTTTGGTGGGTAATAAATGAGCTAATAATAAGTGAAATGTGCTTTTGAGTGACCCTAAACAATTGCTCCGAAGGGAAAGTGGTTGTGAAAGCAAAGTTTGGGGGAAAAAGGAAGGGTCCGCAGAAATGGCTGTGAAATTTCGGTTGGGCAGCTGAAAAATGCGCCAAAGTGTCGAAAATTCCGTTGGTGACATGAAAAGATTTGTTTATAATTAATTTGTACCTCTCCAACAATTTTTTTTCATTTGTTTCAAGGTTTAAAACAAGTAGGAAGCTAAAGTTTGAAAGCATGTGACGCTGAAGCTTATTAATTGCATAAATTCCTTTGGTCAGGGAGTTTTTTTCATACCAATTAACTAGGGATTTTAGTCATGCATTTTTGGGCAAGGGAAAACAAGTGATAAAAAGAGGCAAAAGGAGTTCGAATTTTGAATACCTTAGAATTTGTATACAATATTATTTTATATTATATCATGAAACATCAGAAAAAGAGGTTTTACACTCTGTTTGAAATATCTACAACTTATGGTTTTACATACCCCTGATTAGGAAGAGGTATAGAACCATTGTAATTTCGTAATATCCCTTGTCAAAATAGCGTCTCTTTCGACTTTTATGAGTCGTTCAATGTGTTTACAATTTTTGAGGCAAGTATGGAGAACAACAAGGGGCAAATAACAAAAGGCAACGGTAGCAAAATCCACAAAAGACAAGTGTTGACGTGTAGATGAGAAAAAACAAATGCAAAAAAAACCGGGACAGAGTAAAACAGCAGCAGAAAAATGTGAAAAACGAGTTTGGGAAAAAAATTTGTATCCGCTTGTTGCAAATTCCAATCAATTTTTGTTGTTCTTAAGGACGATGAGGGCGACTCATTTGCCGGAAAATTGAGTAGACATGCATATCCGCAGACGAACGGAAATGGTCAAGATGCAGGTTCGAACAGGGCCATCAATTAGACTTTTTTTTTGGCATCTGCCGCTGCTCCTCTGTGGGTCCTTTGTCTTGGGCGATGGAGTCGGCGGCCGTTTGGCCTGTTTGGTTAACAAGATGGAGCTGATGGAGCTGACAGAGCCGCAGGTTATGGCTAAGGACCAACGTCATTGAGACAAGCTGGTTGGCCCGGCAAACAAACAAACAAACGGAGTCTCTTTCTCCCAAAATTACATTGTTTGGCAACTTTTGCGGCCCAAAAGGAATTTTGCGTTTGCCTAACTGGCAAAAAATTGGCCAAGTAGTTGGGTGGTGGTGAGGATGATGCCCCGGTGTTGCTCCATATGCCATGTTTTGATGTGTGGCAAAGTCTGCTGTGAATTGAAAATCGAAGTTAATATGCTCTGCAGACTGTGAAACAAATCATTTTCAAGTTGTTAAAGGAAATCGACACGTTTTTGCCATTTTATATTTATTATGAGCCTTTTTTGTTCTCGTTTTTTCCCGCTTGCTAGCAGATGTTGCCAAAAGTGTCAGGGCGCGAGATGGGTGCTAAATGGCAATAAACCAAATAATTTGATGATATTTCATGGGTGAATGTGGGATGATATCGACTTTGGTTTGGGGTTCTCCTACTTGAAAAGCAAAACATTCTATGCAATTAGTAATTAGTAATGCAAATTTTTTATGGTCATCAATTTTCAACACTCCTCCATAATTATTGTATTGCCATTGGAAATACTAAGATTTCATCATAATTATCAAATCATTATCATTTTTTTAAAGTCTAATTTCTTTTCCAAGGATGCTATATCATGTTCCTTGGTGGCAACTTCAAAGCTGCAGGATAAAGCCACTTGAATATGCAAAACAGAGCAACAAAATTCGTTTAGGTAAGCTATTTAATGGGGCGTTGGGGCAGGCGGCTGAAAAAATCTCGTAGGCAACACATTATATTTATGCGAAACTCGAAAAGAAGCTGGGGGCGTCGTAAAATTAGTAAGCACGTGAGTGGCCTGCCCTCATTATCATAAAAGCCGGGATTCTGCGAGCGTTGGCAGTTTTCTTTGGGGTTTCAACCTTACATGAACTTCTATGACCATAGATTTACAATAATAATAATAGTACAGAAATGTAGTATAGAAATAGGAAATGTTTTCGGAAAAATCTGATAAGTTTTTAAAACAATTTTTATAATAATGCAAACTAACCAACTTCAATGAAGCTATAAGAATGTTGTACTTAACTCAAGGAAAACAGTTTTCAGGAAAAAAATTTAAGATAAACTTAGCACCCTCGAAATATTTTCGAAATGGTTTTTGTAAGCCCGATGTCGTTATCCCAAGGGATTTGTGAGACAGTACATACTGGGACAATTTTATGACCATATGCCCTAAGAAAAGCTGTAGGCAACTCTATTTGGTTAATACAGAAGATTTCTGCATTGTAATGATTAATTTGTGGAAACTCAAAAGCAAGGGCAACCCTTTTTTTCACGTCCTGTCCTATCCTGTCTGGGTTGTGAAGAAAACTGTATTTAAAATGCTGGGGAATGTGGAGGACTCACCAGTTGTTGGGACCGGGACCGGGACCGGAGCCCGGGTGACCAGCTCCTCCGCCGGTGGTGCTCCTTTCCGGCCGATTGCCCGCATCGCCGGCGGCGCTGGGGGGTGCTCCTGCCACATCTCCTGGCTGCTGTGGTCCACTCATTTCTGGGTACACTTAACAATCTAATGGCATCGCGGTAACTCCGGCAGGAAATGTTTGTTATGATTAAGGCATATGCGAATCACTTTTGGCCGTGCAGTGGACCGCTTTTGTACTGTTGAGTTTGGTGCTTCAAATCGAACCGGTTTGAATTGCCAAGCGTCCTGAGAAGATTACTGCGTTCCGTTTTTGATTTTTGACCGAAAGATTGCACAGAAATTAAATTAATAGCAAAATAAATAAAATAAAAGGTGGTTTGTATGTTATTTTTTCCGAGAGAGTAACGCAGACAGCTGATTTGTTATCGATTGCAAGGCGAACGGGGAATCGGGTAACGGCGTTGCCACCTCGCCGCAGTATGGCGGCAATTCAAATTGACAGAAAGGAGTGTGAGAAAATACAGATAAGGATGGTTTCTCTATAAACAGGTTTAACATAAAAATGATTTGTTATGTTCATTTCATTTTTAACCTTAAGTATAGATTTTATAGGACTACATATTTCACCATAAATACTTTATTAAATTTTATAAAACAAATGTAATTATAAATATAATTGTTATTGTTATAGATCCAACTAAGTTATAAAGAAAGCCATTCATCTTAAAGAATCCATCAAATAATCAATACGCATGTGGATTTTGCAAGTTTCTTTCGTATTGTCTTGACTTTATGCTAATGCCCTAACGCTTATTTTTATAAAAATTTTCATTTGCTTTGCATCTTGTGTTTACTTTGCGCGTCGATTTTTCATTTGGGTTTATTTGTGCTTGTTCGGGGTGTTCTGTTCGGGGCCCACTTTTAAAATTTCCATAATTATATGCATCAGCTGGCAGGTGACTGAATGGAGAAGTCATGGCGAAGCGAAAGGACGAGACGCGCCAAAGAATGAATCCTGGAAAACAATGAAAAGAAGGACCGGCGAGAACAATTTGTGTGTGAGTCTGTGCTTTCGTTATTTTTATGGCAGAATAAACCAGCGCCAAAGTGTAAATATTGACAGTTTTTAAATTATAATCAAAGCGAATAAATAATAAAGCGAAACAGGAAAGAAAACAAAACAGTTGGTGAAAATTAATTGGGTGGCTGTTATTGCGGGCATCACTGAGCGTTTCATTCCAGATCGTTTCAGGCAGTGATTTCAACTCCTTCCCTTGGAATGACATGCGATTTAGGCCAGCGGCGATCACCAGGGGATGTAGCTCAGATGGTAGAGCGCTCGCTTAGCATGTGAGAGGTACGGGGATCGATGCCCCGCATCTCCAACTTGGAAAATAAGTTTTTTTAGTTTTTTTTTATTTAAGCAAAATAATTAAAGCAAATATTAATATAAGTGGATCGGTACCGAGAAACATAACATTCAATAAATCTATATTGTAGATTTTTGTTTTTAAAGATTTCCAATTTAATTTTTTAATTTTTCAATTTCAATATAACATAGTTGTTTTGTTATAGTTGTAAAAGATATAACAAAAATTTCAAATACCATTTTGGTTATATAACCTACATTTAGTTTTAAATAAAAATATTTTTAGTAATATTCGCACTCGGAATAAACCATTCGGATTTGCTTACACCTCAAAGGCGGAAATTTCTAAGGATTTTCTATATGAATGATTATAAGGTTAATTTATATGTTATTTAAGGGTATTAAAACATTACATGTTAAAAGAAAAAAAAAATTTTGTCCTTGGAGATGCGGGGCATCGATCCCCGTACCTCTCACATGCTAAGCGAGCGCTCTACCATCTGAGCTACATCCCCATATAACGGTACCCGATTTTCGTTGCTGCAAGGATTTACGGGTCAAATTTATAAGCAAATGCAAGAGCTCTATAAATAGATACTTCCCTTACTATTCATGACCATGATCATTTACTTTCCGCTTGGTCAACATATCACGTTAAAAGCATTCAACGTGTTCAATGCAATGACACAGATTGATTAAAATCAATATGATTTCGTTGTCGACCTTTTGTGAAAGTGGCTACGACATTATTATGCAACTAAAGTCAGACCAGTTTATGGGGCAATAAGACGCCTAGAAACAATAGCATCGAAAACTGGTTGAAGAAAATGTGTTCAATTTTTTACTTATTCAATGTTTTGAACAAAATTTGTATTTTTTTCATCATCATTTTCGTCATCTTAAAATGTTTAAAATATATATACATCGAAGAAAAAACTAAGGAAAAAAATAAAAACGAATACTACTCAGAAACAAATTTATATTTTGTTTAAAAACTTGTTTAAAGTATTGACTGAATTGCTCAGTAAACACGAACAAAATTTGATTTGAAACCTTTATCACAGTTATAATCTAAGAAATAGAAAAAAAAATAATCCGGGCTCAACCGGGATTTGAACCCGGGACCTCTCGCACCCAAAGCGAGAATCATACCCCTAGACCATTGAGCCTCTTGATTTTACCGCGGCCAAATAGCCCAAATCAGCAACCGATTGCTGGCCCAAGCTAAATTTAGAGAAAATTAAAATTAAAATGCAGTCAACTAGTTTCGATGTCTTTTGTTATCTCTGTGGGCTCATTTTGTACAAGGTAAACAGCATGTTTCAGGCGGTATATCTATGAATAGTTACTTCTTATTTACTGTAAAATTTTGGCTGGCCTTTTGGCGGGCGGAAGTGCAAGAGGGGATGTAGCTCAGATGGTAGAGCGCTCGCTTAGCATGTGAGAGGTACGGGGATCGATGCCCCGCATCTCCAAGAGGAATACTTTTTTCTACTTCTTTAATATTTTGCAATTAATAGTGTTTTAAAATGAAAAACATTTTTAAACTTGATACCTGTAGAGTAAAAGGGTACACTAGATTCGTCGGAAAGTTTGTAACTGGTAGAAGGAATCCATTCCGACCCCATAAAGTATATATATTCTTGATCAGGATCACCAGGAGAGTTGATCTAGCCATGTCCGTCTGTCCGTATGAACGCTGAAATCTCGGAAACTATAAGGGCTAGAGTATTGGGACTTGGCATGCAGATTCTTGGGCTTCCTGCGCAGCGCAAGTCGAGGCCATTGACTTTAGCTTTTTATCTTGATAATAATACAAAAGTTTAAAGTAAAAAAAAAAACACCTTTAGTTTAAAAATGAATCCATTTTTCTCTTTATTATTCTTTTGATACAATTTTTTTGTATGTATATATAATAACTTAATTTTTTTAAAGATCTACATTTACTTTAAAGAGAATTACAGTTATAAAAGAATCTATATGTTTTTAGGTTCAATTTTTATTGAATGTTCTTCAAAAAAATAATTATACCCGATCTTTAATGGTCAGAGTCTCTTTCTGCAAATAAAACGTAAAAATTAATAAAGATTAATGTTTTAGGGTTGTGGGATCTTACTTTTTGGACTGGGCAGCAAACCAAACGTGGAGGGCAAGGTGAAGGTGAAGTGTTGGAGTGGAAAGTGAACGGAACTTTGCACAAATCCGGTTCTACACATTTTTTGTAACCATTTATGTCACAAGCCAGATCAATCTGATTAGTTAGTTTAAATTAATTAGTTAAACCGTAGGAAACAAAAACCTAGGATCATTTCATTTGAACTTACATCTTCATGTTTACAACAAATTTCATCTTGTGCGCAGCTGGAATCATAATTTGTAGGGTAATTGTTTTGACAATTGTTTACTTTGACACAACAAGCGTTTCCATCCGAATTACAAGGGGCAAAAGCTTGGCTCAGACCGAAAAGAACGGAGATTACGAGAAAACCAGAAATGGTATAGTGTGCCATTATTAAAGATGAAGTCGAGACTGAGTTCATTAAAGAGCTGAGTGTGGATTATAAAGCTTCTGGGGAATAATCTGTATGCTCATTTCATACGCTTATCAGGTCAGACTTTATCAAAATTCCAAAAAGAAATTCTTTTGATTTTATTTCACATTTTAATGCCAATGTGAATAACTTATCAAAAATTTTTTAATAGGCAGTAAAAAAGATTAAATTAAAAAAAATGTAAACCAACACTTATGATCTTCACATATTGATCAGATAATTTGAAACGAACTTTTTTATACAGCCTTGCCTGCAGACCCATCGCATCCATCAGCCTAATGGAATAAACCCCTTGGACAAAGTTCGAGAGTTTCCGACTCCCGTAACCTGCACAAATATTTAATTATTCATAACTTTAAACAATCACGGCGACGTCAGCATCATCCGTGTAACCCCAGGGTCTGGCCCCCCCGATTTAACCCACTCCAATTACAACTCAACAAACACAATACAAACAAAAACAGGAGGATGGATACCGCGGGGATTCCCCCGACCTCTGCGAACGTTTAGCTGCTGTTCTGCCGGCTACCGCTGATGGTAATAACATTGTCGTAAAATCATGTTTGGCTTATCGTGGGACTCCCGGGACGATGATCCTGGATTTCGGAAATTCTGGGGGAAGGTCCCGCGCACGCTGCATTTAAATGCCGGCAACGTCGGGGAACGGCGTGAATTATAGAGGCGTAGGTTAAATGCCGTTAGACAGCCCCATAAACTGCGAACCCTTTCTGACAGCCGACTTGGCTCACAGAGTAAAAAATATAACGTCTTGAAAAAGGTATCTCCCACCTTGGTAGTCCCCAATATAAAATATTTTCCAACGTCTTGACAAAAATGTAATTAAATTCGTTATTTGATTTAAAGTAATAAACTCATGACAACTTAAAAATAAACTTTTAGATTAGTTTCTTATCAACACTTGGTATTAATTAGGGGTTTTTCATACAAAGCGAGTTTAGTTTCACTAATAAAAATAATTTCAAAAATTTTATTAAGACTAAAAAGATTTAAGTTTATTAATGAAAAGACAGTGGAGCAGTTCAATGAACTGTCTTTAATACATATTATTTCACTTAGCTCGTTTTTTTATTGAGGTTAACAATTTCAAGGCAATTCTCTAGAAAAAGTTTTTATTTTCCTGTAATTAAACTTTATTAGTCTGACTTATAACAATACAAAGAGGAATATTAAATATACAAATAAATTTTAATATTCTCATAACAATGATTTTTAAAAAATAAGAAAGGAATTGACACTGATAACAAAAAAAACCTATAAATAATTTTCTAAGTGCACATAAACTTTAAATATAAATGAGTCATGGCTGTGTGCGATTCAAAAAGTTGTTGGCTTTCGCTTTTAATTTTTGTGAAATTATTTGCATTCGCTCGCACAGAAAACTAATGCAAAGAAAGTTCTGTTCGAAAGGCATCTAGAACCAGGATCCTGCCAATCCTCCTGTTCCTCGGCTTGTTTTCTTGTAATTATCGCTTTTGTTTGTTGGCTGAACTTTTGCCAGGTTTTGGCCGCCGGCTAACATACAAAATTAGCGCTCCGCTCACCAAAATGACTAAACAATATTTACTATTTGCCGGATGCGGGCGGTGGTTTTGTAACCCATCTCAGGAGGATGGCGAAGTCTCAAGACGCTGCCAAAGTGGGCAACATATTGTCGTTGTACGCCGAACAACATAATTTTCTAATTGGCCAAAGTTGCTGCCAAGTTTTCGCCCAGACAGACCGAGAAAACATTTGTTCTCAGTTTCGGTTTGCTAATTCAATTTTAATGCTTGATTTCATATTAATTGAAAACGGCGTTTTGAAAAGATTTTTGGAAACTTTTTTTGGGGGGTGGATAATCAAGAATTCACAGTTGAGGAAATTATAATCTAAAATGTATTTTTAAATCCAAAAATATGTATTTGAATGCTCAGTAAAATTTAATATAACTATGCAAAGATTCTCTTAGTTAAATTTAACCTATGCCTGATAACCCCCAATAAGCTCTCATTTCCGCAGTGAAACTCATTGAACCTTTGCCATCTTTAGTCAGTTCACTTCGACCCCAAGTTGTATTTGCCCAAGGGCTTCTCGGGCCATTCCGAAGGCGTTCATAACAGATGACCTCATATTTGTGGCACCCACACCCCAAAAACCCGGAAAGAAGTTTGATTTCAAGACGCTTTTTCTTGTCGCCGCTTTTTATGGCATGCACAAAAGCCAAAAGGCAAACACACTCGAGTCATAAAAAGATGCCTGCAGACAAACAAAGCGACACACGAGCATAGGATAGGATAGGATGGAATACGATGGTATAGTACAGGACCAACATAAAGATCAAATGTCAATACAGGGAATCGGGGGACGGAGATTCGGCTAAATGTGGCCAAAAGACGGCAGTGGAAAGACAAACAACAGCGACAGGAAAATGTACAACAAATTTCTAAACGTTGTCATAAAAATGAAATGAAAACAAGCAGAAGGCGGTCAACAAACGGGAAAAGCTAAACTTAAGACATTCAATAAGTTTACTTATGCCAGGCTGAACAACAGCCACAAAAAATGAATGGAGGGAGTTCTGACCTTTTTATCGCTTTAAATATGTTTATGACCAGGTTTTTGGGGGGGGTTCTCTAACAGTCCGCTTATAAATCTCAAAGGTTTTATGTTTATGTGCACGAAATTGTTTTTAACGACAATGTGTGTCCATGTAAATTATTATTGTAGTTTAATAACGTCTCAGCTTAGGGCAATTACTATGGCTCTTTGGGGATCATGCTTTATGGGCCTTGAAAAATATTAAAAGAATGGATTTACTGGGAATACATTTAAGAGTGCAATAGATTAGGTAAAATATGTATTTTGATATATTTGGTTATAATAAAAATATCCCGCTTTGTTGAATATCATTATAGTTAGACTCTTGACATCATACGTATTATTATTCCATTGTTAATATCATAAATATAATACAATTTTATAAATATAAAAAGGTTTATTTAACAACAGTTAACAAGGGCTGTTAGAATAACTTGATATTGACTAAATATAAACTATTTTAGTGCTGATAGAGAGATCTACAACCCACTCTCTAGCTTCTACCTTCTTTCCATTCAACCCACAACTCAAGGTCTTAATCAAATCACGGTCATAAGGATACCCTCATAAATATGTCAATTAATGGCACGCCCCCCGCCCACGTGTACCGTCTGTCTGCTGTCTTATCTCAATGAAGACATAAACGCTCTGATATCAATTTATGTCAATGTAAATGTTTCTTTGTTGTTCGCCCCGAGATTGGGTATAATGTATGCGAACCTCGCCACCACTCCAAGGAACATGTGTCGGCGAATCTTAAATGGAGCTTATGAAACTATTAAAAGGCGAGCAGACAAGGCACACACACACACACATGTCTCACAAACAAACAAACAAACAGGCATACGGGATAGTGTCCTTATAGAGGGGGAACCACATATCTTCGGGTTGGGGGTAATTAGTTTGCTACACGCTCGAGGCGTGCCTTCGTGTCCTGTTGGTCCTGGGCATCCATGAATAATTCCAGGCGGTGGCAAAAACTTTGACCAGCTGCTCGAAAAGGTTGACAAAACCCCAAGCCAGGCTAACCGCAAGACCAAGATGGTAATAACTATGAAGATGATGATGATGGGGATTTTCAAGGGGAACAAGCCACTGAGTAGATTACTCATACGCACGATTGCCCAGGAACATTAATTATTTAGCCCGTCTTCTTCATTTTTTTGCAGCTTATTCTAATTGCCTTTGTCTTCGCAACACATTTGCATAATTCTGCTCTAAACAATAAAAATCTAATTTGACCCCGCTTGCATTGTAATTTCTTGTTAAATTCATAATTGTTAATTTCTGTTGTTTCTGGCATTTTCTTTGGGGCTTAACTTTAATTAAGAGGCAAGTGCCCAGGGTTTCTGCCTTCGCATGTCCTGCTGCTCGGGATGTCCTGTTCACAAGGGTGGAAAGATTGAGGAGAGTCGTGCATGTGAATGGTCAGTCTGGTCACTGAAGACGACACCCCAAAGGGTGAAGGAATTCTGGGTGCTTTTAATGAACTTGGCAGTGGCAGGGATTCCCTGAAAGCAGAAATAATAATAATAGAAGGGAGATTTTGTTTCTGAAAGAATCAGGAAGTTCTTTTTTAAACCGAGATTTTTTAAATATTAAAAAGGAGTCTTCAAGTTGTTTATTTATTTCTTAATATTAATATGTTAAATATTTATTTATTTACATTACATTTGCAATAATACTTTGTATAGTTTCAAATGTTGTCATCTCGCTCAGACGCAGACTAATTTAATGCCCTTTAATACCGAATTTTTCTCTCCTTTTCGATATGAGAGAACTGTCAAAGAGAGGAAACCGAAGAAATACCAGTTCTCAATATCAAGAGTACTTATTCAATGGTTAAATGGTACCTTGTACATTTACCATGGGAATATCAAATTGTCAATTATATTTTTGTTTTGTGTACAAAACATTACTTCGTGTGATTTTAACTTTTAACAATTAGCATTTAAAGATTTCTTTTATTTACTTTGTAGAGAAAAACATTAAACAAATACCTACTTCACTTCTGTTGCCTTACCTATTTATTCTTTACCAATAAAAGACAATTCAACAAGGGGACGCTTCTAAACGATTTGGTTGTTCCTGCCACAATTAGCTCCCCTTCCCCCAGGAAAACCACAAAATGTGGACCATTAAAAAGGCAAAACTTTAAGCGGCTCTCCAAGGCACCTTCCCCATGTCCCCCTTCGGTATTGCCAAGAAACAAAAACCATTAAAACAATTTAATCGCACTCGAGGAAATCTTCGCGAGCCAGAAAGTCGAGCATGAAATGCAAAAGTTTTTATTTTGACGCCTGGCGCCTTTGCTCCTTGGCTCCTCCTGATTGTAAATCGTTATCCTCCCAGGGGGACTCGA